GCCTGTCCAGGTCCCTCTGGGTGGATCTCATCCCTCAGGAGTGTCCATCCCACCACCCAGCTTGGTACCACTTGCAAACTTGATGTGGCTGCAAGTTCTGCTGTTTAATCCACCCACCCCAGGTCTGTGGGCTCGTGTAGAAGCATCCTGCACCCTCCTGCACCCTGCCCACTGTGAGCCCACCAGCAAGGCACCCCAAAGAAGCCACAAGGATGCACAAAACCAGGCTCCAGGAGTCCTTGCTGTGTCCCCACCGATTTCTGGTGGAGAAACCCTTCCCCCCTTGCCCAATGCCAAGGGTTGACCACGTCTCATCTCCTCCCTGAGCCTGGTGTCCCCATTCCCCTCCGTAGGGTCACCTGTCACCATGATGGGGCGGATGTTGGCGTTCCTCAGGAGGTGAATCACGGGTGCAGACTCTGGCTTGAGGACATTTTTCATGACCAGGAACCCCAGGAAGGTCAGGCTGCTCTCCACAGAGTCCCTGGTGGGATACAACAAGTTGTTCCACACCATCTTCAACAGAAGGCAGAGGGGATCCATCAGTATAAACAGCTAAAAAAACCAGCTTTAGTACGGGTGAGGGTTTAGTTCCATGAAGGCTGCAGGGAAGCTGGGAGCAAACAAGATTTAAAGGGAGAGAAACCCAGGTGTTGGCACCAACCTGGGGAGCTGCAGGGCCTCCTCAAAGCTGGTCACTGTGCTGAGGGGTTTGGAAGCCAGCCCCAAGACCCTGTAGCCATCTGTGGTGTAGTGTCGCAGCATCTGGGAGAAATCCACGGGCACTGCCAGCAGTGAGGGGAAGAACCAGGTCAGAACAGATCCTGAGGGAACCCCAGGGCTCGAGTTCCTAAAGGACTGATGGACTAGAGATGTCCAACCAGACTCCAAAACCCCTTCCCTCTCTTCTGGTTCCTATTTCCTTCCCCCTCCGTGGCTGGAGCTGATCCAAAGCCTCTGGGAATTGCCCCAGAGTGTCCCTGAGGGTAATTCCCTGTGGGGAGGAGCTGCAGGGCTGCAGGAACATGGCAGAGCAGCAGGACTGGCCAGTCCTCCACTGGGGAGTGACAGGGAACCACCATCCCCCAGCAGGACCCCCAGCAGGAACCTGTCTCCTTCGTGCAACGGCTGGCCACCATCTCTGGAGCCCCCTTGACGTAGACATGGGCTGAGGCTTCTCCAGGCACCTTCACCAGCACACTCATCCTCTGCAAGGAGGAGGAGAAGGGGAAGCGCCGGAGGATCCCCAGGGGGGACTGGTGCTTCTGTGGAGGAGAGGGAGCAGGGGTCAGGGTCAGGCAGGACCTTCTCAGCGTGGTACAACCTCTCCAGGGGTTGGCTGTGAAGCACAACAACCCTTTTGGGGGTGCAGAGCCAGAGACTTGGGGAGTCTGAGCCACTCTGGTCCACAGGACCTACCCTGTCTTGTGGCTGTTCTTCCTCGGGTGGAGGTTTCATCACGGCCAAGACCTTTGTGCCAAACTGCTGGAAGGCAGGCAGCTCACCTTCCTCCTCCTCCATCATCTCCAGGCACTGAAACCAAGGCAGATGCTGAGATGGCAAAGTCCCATCCACCCCAGAGCAGCCCACGGCTGGTTTTAAACCCCAGCTTCTGCCAGAACAAGACGTCTCCCACCTCCCTCTTCCTAGATAACACAACTTCATCCACCCCTTGCCTTACCCAGCCTGTGGACTCCATCATCTTGAGGTCCACGGGGTCCCCAATGGGCTGTGCCCGCAGCAGGGACACCGTGTGGCAAGTGGCCAGGGAGTAGAGCAAGGGCCCGGCGGGCAGGCGGCGGGGCTCGTGGACGATGGGCATGAAGTGGTCATCCTCCAGTGGGACCACCCCCCAAACATCCAGACCTTCCTCTGTCAGAGTTCCTGTCTGTGTGGGGAGAGCGTGGTGGGTCCAGACTGGTCCCCTCCCCAAGCTGGAGAGCATCCCCCCAGGGTGCTACCCAAAGTCTCACCTTGTCGAAGCAAACCAGGTGGATCTTCCCGCAGAGGTTGATGCGGGGAGGGCTGATGCAGAAGATGCCCTGTTTCTTCAGCCTGTTCTGGGCATAGATGGTGCCCACTGTCATGGCAGCTGGGAGAGCTGGGGGCACGATGACAGTGATGAGGTCGAGGGCACGGATGATGATTTGCCCCACAGGGACCTGGCAGAGGAGGAAGAGGGGTGGGCATCTAGATAACTCTCAGCCACCTCCACCCGCCTGGGCTGAGGGTCTCAGTGCCAGCCTGAACTTGAGGAGCCCCCCGCCCTAGGAACCCTACCTGGTTTTTAACCAAGATGAGGATGCTGTACAGGGTGCCAATCAAAGCTGGGAGGGAGGGAGAACGGGCTTGGTTACAAAGCAAAGCAGACGAGGGGTGGGCTTCAACCGCTGCAGAGGAGTTCGGCTGCTCCCGCCCGTGTCTCCACGCTCAGACGTACCCAGGACGGCGAGGAACAGGACGAACTTCACAGCATCCTTGTAGAACTTGAAGCTCACGGGTTTGGGGTAGAGGATGGAGCTGATGAGATCTCCTTTGGCCGTGCAAAACCCTGGGGGAGAGGGGTGGGAGGTAAACGCGCGCCCAGCCGCCGCTCCGCAGGACGCGGCTTGACCCCGGCTTGTCCCCTCAGCCCCTTACCCGTGCGGGTCACCACGGCCAGCACCTCTCCACCCACGTAGGACTTGGCTTGGATGACCTGTGTCCCACAGAACAAGGTGTGTCGCTTGTGCTCCTCGGGGGAATAGGTGCTGCTGACCTGCCCACCGGCCGGGAGAGGGGTTTTCATCACCGGCACGCTCTCCCCTGCGCGAGGAACGGCACGGAGGGAGGGTTAGCACCCCCAGGGGAAGGCCAGGATACAAGCAGCCTGGATGGGAAGGGGCTGCTGTGGGGTCTGGGAGCTCCAAAGCTCATCCTCTGCCCCCCAAGCCCCAGAGCTCACCCGTCAGCATGCTCTCGTTGACCATGCACTCGCCCGTCAGCAGCGCGGCGTCGCAGGGCACCAGCAGCCCGTCCGTGGGCAGGCTGATGCAGTCACCTGGCACCAGGTCCACAGAGCTCACCACCATCTCCTCTGGAAGACAGCACGGCCGTGCTCAGACACGCCATCCCCTCCCCACCCCAAAAAGCTTCCCACCAGGAAGGGGTCTCCTAGAGAAAGGGTTGGCTCCTGGCTTGGATGGGTGGGTGCATCGCTGGGTGAAAAACTGGCTGGGCCCAAGGAGTGGTGGGGAGTGGAGTGAACTCCAGTTGGTGGCTGGTCACAAATGGTGTCCCCAGGGCTCAGTTCTGTTTGACATATTCACCAGTGATCTGGCTGAGGGGATAGAGGGACCCTCAGGCAGTGTGCAGAGGGCACCCAGATTGGGGGGTGTTGATCTGCTGGGGGCTGGGAGGTTCTGCAGAGGGGTCTGGCCAGGCTGGATCATTGGGCTGAGGTCAGTGGGGTGAGGTTCAAGCAGGCCAAGGGGCAGGTCCTGCCCTTGGGTCACAACAACCCCCTGCAGTGCTCCAGGCTGGGGCAGAGTGCCCTTAGAGCCCCCCGGGGATGGGGCCTCACCCACCTCTCTGGGCAACCCATGCCAGGGTCTCACCACTCTCCTGGGGAAGAACTTCTTCCTCACATCCAGCCTGAATCTGCCCACTGCCAGCTTTGATTTAATATCGTTCTCAATGATCTGGATGAGTGGATCAAGGGTTCCTCAGTCAGTGTGCACGGGGCACCACACTGGGTGGGAGTGTTGACCTACTGCAGGCCTGAATCTGCCCACTGCCAGCTTTGATTTAATATCGTTCTCAATGATCTGGATGAGTGGATCAAGGGTTCCTCAGTCAGTGTGCACGGGGCACCACACTGGGTGGGAGTGTTGACCTACTGCAGGGTAGGAGACTCTACAGTTCTTCCCCAAAAGGGCTGTGCCAGGCTGCCCAGGGCAGTGGTGGAGTCCCCACCCCTGGAGGGGTTTCCAAGCTGTGGAGATGTGGTGCTGAGGGACATGGGTCAGTGTCCTGGCAGTGCTGGGGGAAGGGTTGGACTCGATGACCTTAAAGGTCTCTTCCCACCAGAACAATTCTCTGATCCTGTAACTCTACAGCCCTCACCCACTGCAGGCATCACACTCACCTCCTCTGGGGCGATGGACTCGGACACTGACTGACATCTTGGCCATGTTCTGCAGCGTGGTGGCTTGCTGCAAGGGAGGGAGCAGTTAGGAGCCACCCGAGGGCAGCCCAAAAACATCTGCAAAATGG